TCTAGTTTGTTTTCCCCATTTTTAAAAGCGCGCGCGCGCGTGTGTGTGTGTGTGTGTGTGTGTGTGTGTGTGAGAGAGAGAGAGAGAGAGAGAGAACACATATGTCCCTGCATTACTTTTCCTTAACTAAAAGGTTGCATAGTATAAACTATTTGTACATTTCTCCTTATTTTTCTTCTAGAAATAACTCTATCAGTTCATTGGGATATTTTTAGTTATATGTAATTTTTCTTTTGTGGTGCTGAGGTGGAGCCCAGGGCCTTGTATATGCTACACAAGCTCTGCTCCACCGAGCCTCACATTTGCTCTCATTTTTATAAGCTTCAGTGGGCAGAAGCCCCATAGTGTATACAACTGATTGCTTATTCGAATGTTTAGGTAGTTTTCAAATATTTTGTGTTCCTGCACTCAGTAACTATCCATCTGTGTGTTTGGAGTGGGTGGCAGGTGTGTTATCTGTTCTTTGGAACAGGATTGTTCAGCTAAAGGCTAAGTGCATATGTGGGGTTTTTTGTTTGTTTGTTTGTTTGTTTGACATTTCTGTATGTTCCTCCCCAACTGAGTGTTACCTGACTTTGCATTTTTTACCCACAGCATGAAAGTACCTAATATATAGATTGTGAAGTATGGCCCTCAGTGATATTTGGACCCTGATGTCATGTAACCTGTTTGCTCAAGTCTTTCTGGCTTCGGATGAACTCCAGGAGTTGTGGTTAGGTGGCATGGTTGAAGCTCAGGGCTTTGGACAGTGTGTGTGTAGTGTTTGCATTTTTATCTTTTCAAACCAGGGTACTTAAAATATATTTTTCTAAGACAGACAGTTTTTTGTTCAAATTAAGTACCTTGCCTAATGGACATTGACAATGTACACAGCCACATTAAACTGTGAGTGATTACCGAGCATGCCCCATACTTATTTGACATCCCAAAATTACTACTGTATGCAAATACTGTAAGGCACTAGCATTGTGAGAATTGCCTTTGTGAGAAGGTGGGCTTTATGAAAGCTTAGCTTGGGAGAACAAGGTGAGGGATGCTCAGGGCTTTAACACTCTTTCCCACTCCCCTTTTCAAGTATGAACAAAAGTGTCAATTTTAAAATTCAAGCTTGAACTTGAGGAGAGAGCAATGAAAGATGATGAAAGCCATTGAGACAAGCTTCATGCCCTGTGTCTCATGTATGACACCAGAATCCTGTGTTTAAGACAGTAGACATTCAATCTCACCATTTGAGAGATGAAATTTCCTTATCTACTTAAAATCTGTATCTCTAGTGTGAGTTTCCAACCCAAGGATGTGTACGTTTTCCAATTTCACTGCTTGCTTTTGCTTTATGAGTAGCTGAGAAGGAAGTTATTTTAGTCATTTGTTATGTTTCTTATTCTTTCCGTTTCTCCCTTCATGCCTAAAGTATGTTTAAAAGTATAAAATACTGTTTAGATCGAATGGAAGACTACCTACGGCATTTCAAATGTTACATTTCTCTTGAGCCTCTCCTGCTCCTCAGTGAGGCCTGGTAGGAAGCATCTCTGCCACAGGTCTCCAGGTATTTGCAGAATGACTATATCGTCCCATCTTTTGAAACGCTGATCTCTTTTGCTCACTAGTGGCCCATGCAGTGTATCTTTTCAAAATTACATGTATTTATGAATTTGTATATGTGAGCGCTTGTGCATGCATTAGGGGAGGGACACCTGTGGAGGTCAGAGGACAACTATTGAGTCCGTTCTCTCCTTCCATCATGTGTGTCCCAGGGACTGACGTCAGGTTATATGCCTTTACCCATGGTCTTATTGCCCCCCACCCCATATATCTTGAGTTACTTTTGGTGACCTTGGATGTGGGAAGTGTTTGGTAGGATTGTGGATATGCTTGTTCCTATAATTCCAGGGGACACCCACCTGTGGCTGTGTCTCCATAGAAACAAGTAGGAGCCAATTGAACACAGGACTCTGACACAGGCTCTTGTGTCAAGAGCACAGGCTTGAGAGATAGAAAATGGAGTGGCCCTGGATCAGCTGTGTCTTTGCAGTGCAAACCACTTCTATGACCCTGTCAACAGTGACAGCACCTCCCTCCCCCACTTCAAGCTCACCAAGAGAGGCAGCCAGCAGAGAAGAGCAAAGAGGTCAAGAAGACGGAAGGTGTCCACTCAGGAGTTTGTGGATATAATCCAGGTCCTGAATTCTCACGAACAGTGCAATCAAGGGCATGCCCCACTCTGTTCTCCTTAGAAACCCAAGTGGCAGTGACGTCCTCATCCTGTCTTAGGTACAAAGGACATAAGCTTGGTTAACTTACCAACCTAGAAGAACAGAGTCAGACAGCAGCAGTGCTTACAGCATGAGTGACGGAAGCTCTAAAGGTGTTTGAGTGACTGACTTAGCAGGCTTTGGGTGCTGGGTAGGGAATTTTAGCTGTTACTCATGATGGCTTTCTCCCTTCACTTAAACTGCTGAGTGGGAGGAGTGTGAATGGCCACATCTGTTTTGGAATGGTCCCGGAGTGCCTTGTCAGCTCATTGGAGCCCGCAGCACATGACAAAACTACGCAGGATTTACTCAGAATACCTGGCTGCCACTCTAGTAACACCAACCTTCCTTTGGTACTTGAACACCTGACCCCCACTCTAGTAACACTGGGCTTCTTTTGGTACTTGAATCATTCTGTGGCAATGCAACAGAAAACAGGCAGCTTGTCTGGAGCCATTGGTGTCTGTGGGGAATGAGTTTGCACTTGCATTTTTCGCAGCAGGGGTAATTAGGCTCCTCTGTCCCTCTGTCTGTGCCCAAGAAAAACCAAGTTCCAGTTGGAGTTACAGTGACTTTTATCTTTTTATTAAGTGGTGATAGATTAAAATATATGTATTAAGAACTGGTTATCACTTAACCGGCTTTCAATAAGAGAAGCAAAATAATACGGACATGTGAGAGATAACGTGAAAAACAATCCGAGGAAAGTTTGGAATGAGGGGGAAATGTATTTTATTTTAAAGGCTGGATAATTTTAAATTTCCCCCGTACTTTTGGAAATCTGGGTTCTACATAATTACAGCTTTTGAAAATTTGACTTAGGTACTAGGTGTCTCCTTGATGGACGCTTTTGCTGAAATGTTGAGTGTGTTAGAGACAGGGTTCTGCTCCCGTTTTCCATCCATGCTGAGGCCCGTGTGTACCATGCCTGGTGCTCTGGTTGTTGAAAAGTGCAGGGAGGTGGCCTGTCCCCGTGTGTGTGTGTGTGTGTGTGTGTGTGTGTGTGTGTGTGATAGGGAGAGTCAGGCTGTCCTGGCTTTCCCTTTTCCTTAGTGACTTACTACTGTAGGATGCGCTCACAGGCAAACTTTGACATGAGTGACCTGGGCACTGTAGTTAGGACAATCCAGTGGTGGGCAAGCCTGGAGATGGGAAGTGGGGACAGCGGCAGTAGGGAGGGCTTGAGCCGTTCCTGGGAATCCAACTTGGGTAGCCTGTGCTTTTGAGAAGCGTACTGGGAGGAGAGTGGTTGCTCTCTCAGACCCCTGTCTCTTCCTGGCCCCAGTCTCTGCTCCTCTCCAGCCTCAGTGTCTTTTGCTGTTAGGAAAAAGGTGACCTAACATCACCGAATTTCCCCCTCATGTCTTTTTATAGTCCTATAGTTCACACAAAAGTCACCAGATAGCCTCGCTACAGGGAGCAGTAACTGCCTTTGGAGGCCACTTGGCCTTTCTGTGTCCCTTGAGACTTATGTTCTCTCTTCACGGCCTCTCTGACTCCTGGCTCCTTTTGACCCACATCATGAGCATCGAGCATCGTCCTGTGATTCACCTTTAACACCTGCCCTCTCTACTGGACATCTTACACATTCCCAGGGGACAGTGCTTGTGGCAGGAGATGTGACCTCTCTTTTGCATGGGGCGCATGTGTGCTTACCAACCCACTTGGCATTCTGCAGACATTTCTACTTAATATTTTGGCCTGACCTTGCTGCCCATTGTCTCCAATTTTTCCCATGTGCTGTCTACTCACACCTAAACAGAATCCCTGAGAATTTCCCTACCTTCTCTCCTTCCCCGCATGAGGGTTTGGTATTGGGCTAGCTTTGCCGTAATGTGACTGTGTGGCCGTGCTTCAGCCACATCCCGCATTTACAGATACACTCCTAAGTTAGGCAGCGTCATTCCAATTGGGCTTGGGGAGGGGGGATTCATGTATACATACATTCCTTGTTGAAATGTGGACAAATATTCCAGTTATTGCTGAGCACTACTGCCATTGTGTTCATAAGTTCATAGGAAACTTACTCCACAAGAGTTGCTGCGTTTGAGGTTAGGATTTGATTTTTATCAATGATAATATCAATGTATAACTTCATAGAGCTTCTGGTGCTAATTCTGTTTTGCTTGATTTTCTGTTTAGTCATTGAAAATAGCATTTCACACACACAAAAGCAGAGTTGCATGTTCTTAGCTCCTTATATATCAACTAACCACTAGATTAAAATAAAAATTAAAAATTTATATCTGGTGCATGATGTACTGCATCTATCATGGAATTTAATTTTATCCACCGAATAGTTCAGTGCGGTGGAGGCTGCCCCTCTTGCTGCTTCTTCCAGAGTTGCTCTAGAGAGTCTAAGTGTGCTTTCCCCATCTCTGGAAGCAGTAGGGTTAAGGGCTCTATGTATGGGCAACCCCCTCTTTGTTAGGAGCTGAATTCCACAATCAGTGTTTCCTGTATACAGTGGCCATTTATGATGGACAGTCCTGCAGGATTCCGGTGCCTGGATTATCCATAGTCATAAGACAACATAGAAGGAGATAATAAAGGTGACTGCCCTGAGATTTAAATAGAAGTTATGTTTCATAATTGTAAACAGTGGAAAGTCATTTTTAATGTAACCTTCCAAAAATAGCTATCTTTCGGTGTTAATCTCTGTTCATCCGGATTTCTCAGCCCTTGAGGAGGGCTGCCCTCCAAAGAATGTTAAGCCAGTAATCACTGTTCTCTCCCTGTCTCTTGCAGTGTAACGAAACCTCCTTCTTTTTTGAAGCTCGAACCAAAACTGCTTGCAAGCACCTCTGGAAGTGCAGTGTGGAGCATCATACATTTTTTAGGTTTGTTAACAGAACGTTTTGTCCCTGTTACAGTAAATGAAGGTGCTGTTTGGTTTTCATAACAAGTATTGTGTTGTGTGAATGTGGTAATATTTCTTTAATTTATTCAGCTCCTCATCCTCTTGTTTGCGTTAATGCATATATAGACACATATGTGATACAGCTGCATATGCACTTATGTCCAGATTGATGTGCACATATATACACGTGTGGTAATCTTCATATGTACTTATGATCAGATTGGTATTCGTTGCTCACACTGTTAGAACAATTCAGGGATGATTTTTAAAAACTGAACATAAAAAGTTCAGAATCACCTAGCACCTGTGTGATGTGGATGGAAATTTGGTGTTTGGCTGTGAATGTTCTGCAGTCGAGGTATCTCAGAGCAGCTGGGTAATCCTCCTGACTCTGCCTCCCACATGTTGGGACAGGCATGTGCCATCATACTCTGTCTTGGAAGGGACACTTTTTGCATCATTACACTTTTTTTTAATTGTTTCATGTCCGTTTGTCATGAAGTTCAAAAGAAAACAACAACAAAAAACAACTTCACTTGATAACACGTTGTTTACTGACTCAAGATTGGATTCCTTGCAGAGAAAGCCTGTCTCAAAAAACCAAAAAAAAAAAAAAAAAAAATATATATATATATATATATACATATATATATATATATATTGGATTCTTCCCCTTAGTCCCATACTGTTTGTACTGGAGTATTAAAAAATGACTGTTACTCCAGCCAGGTGCACCCCTTTGATCCCAGCATGGGGGGCAGAGGCAGATCTCTGTGAGTTCCAGGGCAACCTGACTTACTGACTTACATACCGAGTTCCAGGACAGCCAGGACTATGTAATGAGGCCTTGTCTCAAAAGAAGAAAGAGTCCTTTGTACTGGTCTGTTAGGGAAAAGTGGTGGCCCGGAAGCCTAAGACTTTCCCCACAGTCAGTGACACTGGGCCCAGGATCCCTCAGGGTAGTGTCTGTTGCAAGTGTCCTGAGGTGGGAAATGCTGGAATATGTTGTACAAAGAGTGAAGCAGCACTCCATCTGATGTGATTAGCTGCCACTCAGCCTTCACATGAGTAACTAGAATAGTGACAAAATTCCCAAGATAATAAAGACTAAGGTGAACCACCATTGGCATTTCCTACAGAATCTCAGAAAGTATGAGTGAGCTGTGTTTCAAATTTAGCCTGATTAAGTGGTTATGGTTATTGGCCTGAGCAGATGGTTCCTTTGCTCAGTGAGCTTGCTGTCCTAGCAGAGAACCTGAATTCAATTCCCACAACTCATGTCAGCCGCTCACCACCACCTTTAACTACGTATCCGGGGCACATACACACACAAACACACACATACATACACATACACACACACACATACACACATGGACACACACACAGACACACACATACACACACAAACACACACACACAGACATACACACACACACAAATTAAAATGAACACAAATTAAAAATAAATCTTTAAAATAACAGCTATTATTTCCTCCTGGTATGTAGAATAAGTAAAATATTTTGGCCATCTCTGTTAAATCGTTTTCTGTATAGCTTTGTGCTCAAATGTTGTACTTACAAATCTTTGTTTTTCTTTTTCAAATTAATTAGAATGCCAGAAACAGAGTCAAATTCATTGTCAAGAAAACTCAGCAAGTTTGGGTCCATAAGTTATAAGCATCGGTACAGGTAAATGGCATCTCCCCCTGCCCTTGGGATTTGTGTATGTAAACAAGTTTTTAATTCAGTTACCTACATATAGGCATAATGAAATATGTGGGTTCCCCTCCCCGCCAGCAGTGCCAGTGTACTGTATCAATAAATCTTTCTTGACAGAAATGACTTTTCATTTGTAAATGTGTTTAACATCTCTATTAGCTATGTAAAGTTAGGGGCTTTATTACATTCAGGATTTCATTTTGCTATAATTGTCAGTTATTTCCAATTTTGTTCTGTGATTAGGAAACAAAGCAGATGCTCCGATTACAACTGACTGGTTTGTATATTGTATACAATATACTGGCTTGTATATTCAGTTGGTCCCTTATCAGACAGTTTATATTCTACATCAAGACATGCTTTTACATACATAACTTGCATACATGTAAAACCTGCTAGTTATGCTAATTTTGTGTTAGCTTTGTTGGGCATCTTGTCTTTGTTGTTTAATACTTTCTATTGCTTCTGTGCTATTATCTACACTGAAGAAACTAAGGCTTAGGGACACCAAGGCACTTGGTGGAGTAGGATCCATGACTCTGTGGCCTGCACTTTTCATTATTAACGGACTCAGCTCATGGAGAGAAAACTTGACCACCATGCAGCTCGATGCCTCCCCCCACCACCACCACCTTTTTTTTTGAATCCTGAACTAAAAGTGGGAGTGAGCCTGTATTTTGAAAAAGCATTTGTTTTGCTTCAAATCCTTCTGTTCAGTGGAGAGGTGTGATGTTTCAGGAATGTTGTTGGGGCCTCAGATATACAAAGATTCAACTCTAACCACTCTGCCATCAAGGAGATGCAGTATTCCTTAGGCAGAGAAGCAGACTACCGGGTCTGCCGAAGCCAAGCATCATGCAGAAATGCCACCATCAGCTGCTTAGGGACATCACTGGATGAAATGCTTCCACAGGACATGGAAAAGAAAGTCATGTTTGCAGGGCCCCAGTATGTCAGGTTTTAATTCCTCTCTTTTAGTGACCCACTTTGAAGTCTTAAATCTGAGACCAGAGCCAAGCCTTAAGAGTGACCAACAGTAGAGCTGTCTAGTGATTCCTGTGAATATGGTATTTAGTAGAGAATGTGCTCATTTGATGACAAAAAGAAAAATATTATTTATTCTAGGCACTTTCAATTTTGTATGAAGGCTTTTTTGTTGATGTGTAAATATTTAGCCTTCAGAGTTTCAGAGTTTTTCCTTAGATGAGAATAAAACTATGAGATATTTGAGAGGATAGAATATACTGTTATACCAAAAAGAACAAGCAATACCCAGTGTTTGTGCTGTTTTTCCAATCATGGTATTGCCAAGGCTAGAGAGAAAATGCTTAAATCTGTCTCCTTGTTAACGGACTGCAGCTAATAGGAAGGCATCTGTCTTCTTAGTGTTTAAATGATTAAAATTATAATCATGCTGTTTAACATACGTTGGAGTTAGTTGGCTTCTGCAAATATAGCCATACCTGATTTCTCAAGTTTATTGAAATGCAAATATTGTGGCTACTGGGAATTATTATTAGAAATTATTTTTATTGGATTTTGCATATTAAATATAATTTTTTCCAAGAAAGCAATTAAAGGTAACTTTTCCAGAATTGGATGTTCTGCTAAATCTGCTCTGATTTTATGGCTAATACTAAGTGCCCGGTAAATCTTAATGAAACCAAAATCTCTTTATTTGTGTGTAAGAAGCACTAACTTCAAGCCACTTGTGGGAGAGAGGCATTTCATTTGTCTAATCCCAGGTCAAGAAAGACAGGTCTCTGATTGCTGGATGGTCACTAATGTAGACTATTTAGTGATAAGAGTTGGCAAACTAACATCCTTTTAACCAGTATCACATATCACATGCCTGCCTTTTTTGTTGAAGTAATCTAGAGATAGAGATAACCTGAAATGAAATAGCTCTGGGACACAATAGTCACTGCTTGCAGGCTGTGTGATATGGTGGCAAATGAGCTGTGTCCCAAGCTGTAGTGTGTGTGTGTGTGTGTGTGTGTGTGTGTGTGTGTGTATGTGTGTGTGTGTGTATGTGCAGGTTCGTGTGTATGCATGTGTGTGTGATTGTGTGCATGTGTATGTATGTGTGTGTGTGCATATTCATGTGCATGCCTGTGTATGTGAGATTGTGTATGCATGTGTGTGTGCTTGCATTTGTGTGTGTGTGTGCATGTGATTTTGTGTATGTGCGTGTGTGTGTGTGTGTTTTCAGAGGTTCTTATGCTATGTATGTAAGGAAAGGAAGACAGATTTCTAGTCTATCTCTTCTGTCTTAGGGCTTGCTGAACACCAGCATCATTCTTGCAACTTTTAGGAAAATTAGTTTTGATTTAAGAAGGAAAAAAATCAAACATTTAATTGATGTGAGACAATCAGGCTTCAAAATTAAATTGGTAAGAAGGCTGAGCTGAAATGGAGACTGATGAAATCTTGATTAAGTATTTTGTTACATATTGATAACTCCATATTGGAGTCCCTTGAAAATTAGCTTTTCCTATTAACTGTTGTGAAGCTCCTTGAAAGAATGAGTTGCATGAGCTTCATGGGAGGCATGAGAAGCCAGCATCCTCTCTGTAGGATCCGAGCATAGGAGCTCTCGAATTTCACCAAGTGTGGAGAGACCCAGTTCTCAGGATGGCCTCCTTGGTGTCAGGTGCTTTCCCAAGCACTGCTTATTTGATCTGCTCGGTGGCCCACCAAAGAGGTAAGGTGTCCTCAGTTACAGGCTGGAAATTGGAGCCTCCCCCTGGGAAAATCATTAAGCTAAGGACCCGTAAGCAGCAAATCTGCTATCCGAAGCCAGGCAACTTTCCCCTGCTATTTCCCTCTCCTTCACTGTGATGCTCAAGAATGGTGGCTTGGCCAACCAGAATAGAGAAGATGCATGTGGCAGGGTGTGAGGAGGCATGGGTATGAGGATGTGAGGATGTGGGATTGCATGCCCACTGTTTGAAACCAGAGGGAAAGAGCATACTGTGAGGAGAGGTACAGTATAATGCAGAGGATGAAAGGGGGCTGCAGAGATCTCTAAAAACAAACAAAAAGCCCCAAAGGCCACACGGCTAGGAAAAGGCAGATCTGAGTTTTCCACAGGGCTTAGAATTTCAAATTAAATAGTTAAGTGTTCTGTTCTCCGTGCGTGCCGGCTGCTCTGTACTGACCAGATGGGGAGTCTGAACTCCGTTCTAGACCTGGATCTTGTATAGCCTATAGTAGATTAGTTGACATTTCTGGACCTTAGCCTTATTAATCTTGGGAAGTAATTTTTTTTTATTACTTTGTTCTTGGGAGAGAAACTATGAAGAAAATTGAATAATGAAGTATAGTTTCTTTATAAAATGCCCTATGCTCTGAACATTTAGTTATATTTTTATGACAGATGGTTTTTCCTCTGTGAAGTGAGGCATACACTATCCAAACCTTTTTGATGTTGGAGAAAGTCTGGAGTAAAGCAGACCTGATCTTTGCGCTACAAACCGTATGTGATAATGGGACTTTGTCTTTCGATGGGATTTTTTTTAAAGCTTTTCAGAAAAAGAGCATCTAAGATAGAGGAAAATAGGTTTGTTTTGGTTGACAGTTTCAGAGATTTCAGCTGAAGGTTAGTTGGGTTCTTTGCTTTGTGTCTCAGGTGAACCAGGGCCTTGTGGTGGGAGTGTTTGGTGGGAGAGATTGATGATGTCATGCTTGCTAAAGAGGGAGGGGTCAAGAAGGAGGAAAGGAGAGGAGACAGGTAGGTCTGGGTCCACATGTATTATACATACTCACTTGGACCTATTTCCTCCTATTAGTCCACACCTTTTAAACCGAACAATGGATTAACCCATTGCTGAGATTGTTAACTTCATAACCTAGTCATCTCTCATTATGGCTACTGGCTGGAGCCATACCTTCGACATATAAGCTGTGTGTGTGTGTGTATGTGTGTGTGTGTGTGTGTGTGAGAGAGAGAGAGAGAGAGAGAGAGAGAGAGAGAGAGAGAGAGAGAGAGAGAGGAGAGAAGGAGAGAGGCAGAGAGACAGAGACACAGAGACACAGAAATTGATTTAAATTAGAATGCCTGCTCAGGGAAAGAAGCTTGGGCTCCAGACCGTCACATGATTGCTAGAGAAACAAGCCCCATGTGGGCTTCTAGGTCTGCTCTTCCTCATTCTGGACACATAGGTTGTTAAGTCAGGAGATGTAATAAATGACTGTGCCGGGGTTTAGAAACAAAATCACACTCGTCTGTTGCAGGGGATGCCGTATGACTTGCACAGCATGGGACGGACTAGTAAGAGTACTGCCCTTGCATAGTTCACCCACCATGACTTCTCTAGTGTTTAGTTAGCTGTGGGCCTCAAGACCATTCGCAACCTTTATTGCTAGCCTGACCCGCCTAAACATAAACCTAGCTTTTGATAAATCTCCCCTTCCATCTGACATAATTCCATCCATTAGGTCAGTGCTACTTTCCTGGTTAGTATAATGGGCATCAATAAGAACCTCGGCATACTTATGTCCTGTTGCATCTGGGCTTTTTTCTTCTCCACAAGATACTCCAACTGGACTGTTGTTTAATTCTGTGGTCATATGGCTTTACTTTTGCTAATCAGAATGTTGCATTTTCAAGTGGCAGGACAGCTTTGCAAATGAGCCGAGATCTTTCTATCCAACTTCCCCGACCCAATCAGAACGTGGTGAGAAGTCGAAGCAAGACTTACCCCAAGAGGGTAGCACCAACTCAGCCAGCTGGTAAGTAGTCAACCCCAATGTGTCCAAGTGATCTAGCAATTTCTTTTAGGCTGGTGTGTAAAACGTGTAAAAACAGTTATATAATCTTTTTAATTTTTTATTATAATTTGAGTGCATGATTGTGTGTGCATGTGTGTGTATGCATATGCTAACATTTGTGTGCATGAATGTGTGTACACACACATGGCCCTGCATATGTAGAGGTTGGGTCAGCCCTGGGTGTTGGTTCTCATTCTCTCCTTTTGGTTGTTCATAGCTGCATATACCAGGCTAGCGGCAGGTGTGTGAACTTCTGGGGATCGTCCTGACTCTGCCTCCTATTTTGCTGTAGGAATACAGTGATTGCAGGTGCATGACTGCTGTTTTACTTGGGACCAAGGTTTCAAACTCAGGTCCTCACACTTGTGCTGCAGATGCCTCAGCCACTGAGCCACCTCCCTAGCTCTAGTCTCTTTGTTTCTAATACTAGAATTTTTAGTTTGACTCTGGAAAGTCTCAAATAATCAGACATTATTATTGCCTAACATTATTATTGTTATTTTCTGTGTTTTGGAGGCACCAAGGTCTCATATATCACAGCCTGGCCTGGACTGTGTAGACAAGGCTGGCCTTGCGCTCCTGATCTTCTACCCCTACTACCCAAGTGCTGGGATTCCATGTGTGGTCACCACACCCTGATAGTAATCACCCTTGAGCAGCTGTGGCTTTCCTGATGGTTATAATTTGTTTTTGGAGGAGTTTTAAGTGAGTAATCTCCCAATTTAGTGGATATGAGGTTGAACCAAAATAACTTTTAATACAAGTCTTTAAAAAAAAAGAAGAAGAAGAAGAAAGCATTGTTGAAGTAATTGTACAGAATCCAGAATGGCCTTTCAAAATTATTACTATTCTTTATTTTTATCATGAAACATAAATAGGAGTAGATGGGATCAGACATGCAGTCATTTGTGATCATGGGTATTTGTGCACATATGGAGTTTTAACTAGACTGTCAGTGCTCCAAACTATCAAGTGATTCTCTAATCACACTGTCCCCGTCTCATCGCAGCCAGAAGGAACCCTTGTTAGCTCACTTAAACTCATAAAAGGTATTTACTTTCCACTGTAACTTTACTGCCTCTACAGCCTTTTTCGGAGCAAGTTGGTTTATTTAGTATGTGTTTAATGTTGTATGAGTGGATCATGGTATGTGTTCTATTGGGTCTTGGTTCTTTTTGTTAGCTTTATGTACCAGACACTTGTTTCTAGTCCGAGTATTCATCCTCATGCTATTTTGCTGTTGGTGGATGATGTGCTGTTTGTATTGCAAGCACATACTATTTCTTTAGCAAAGCCACCCAGTCAGTCAATTTTAATGTTTGGTGCTCAAAGCTCCCAGGGTTTTCTTGCAAAACACTTCTCTGGGCATCGTCTGGTCCTCTCCGTGCCCTTACATGTGCACAGCCTCCTTTAAGCTGCATGATATCCCTGGAAGGAGGGCACAGGAAAAAGCATATTTGCTTATATAGTAGAGAAAAACATGGTCCTAGGAGCTAAAAGGAGGTGGGGGCTTTCTGTTCAGGGATAGGAGCCCTTTTCTCCTGGGTCTTTCTGCTGTATTCTTTGAAATGGATTGTTAATAATAAGAATGAACATCTACCCATTGTGTGAGAGCTGGTGTAGCCAGCCTGCCTTCTTGCCTGTGTTCCTTTCCGTTCCTTTCCTTTCCTTTTTCCTTTCCTTTCCTTTCCTTTCCTTTTTCCTTTCCTTTCCTTTCCTTTCCTTTTTCCTTTCCTCTTTCCTTTCCTTTCCTTTTTCCTTTTTCCTTTTTCCTTTCCTTTCCTTTCCTTTCCTTTCCTTTCCTTTCCTTTCCTTTCCTTTCCTTTCCTTTCCTTTCCTGTCCGGTCCGGTCCGGTCCGGTCCTTTCCTTTCCTTTCCTACCCTGCCCTCTCTTCCCTTCCCTTGCTCTCACAGAGATCTTCCTGGATCTGCCCCTCAAATAATGAGATTAAAAGGCATTTTCCACCGAGCCCAACTTGTATCATTTTTGGCATTTACTTCTTCATTCTAGCCTCACATTAAGCCCGTGAAGGAAGTGAGTGAGTTTGTTGTACGGCTCCTAGATGTAGAAATGACACCTGATTTACCATTTCTAAAGTCATTTTAATCTGTCCGGCTTTAGATTTCCTCCTCCCATTGGTCTTGGAGACACATTCCTTTCTGATGATTCTGTAGTGGCAAAAATAAATTTGCAGTGGATTTAAATTTGCAATTGAGTACCTTGCTGTCACTCCCATTTCACTGAGGAGGGCCCTAACATTCCAAAGACAGTTGGGTCAAGATTACTGTGGAGCAGATCTGCTGTGCACAGATTTTACTGGTCCTGCTGAGTCCACTGAGACAGTCACACGAAGTAGATGTATTACTTACCACTTGGGAAGCAAGGGGCAAAAGAAGCCTAGAAACCCCTGTGAGCTGGGGTCTTCAGGCTTAGCAATGCTTTATGGGGCAGGTAGAATCTTAACTGAGTTTCTTACTTCTGCCACACCTGAGAGACTCCGAAGGCAACATAACTCTGTATTCTGTGATCAGATGGTCATGTGAGGCACTGGGCTAAAGCTGTGATAGGCATTCAGCATGCAGAGAAGAGGAGGAGAGCCCAGGCTGACCTGGGAAGGACCTATAACTCAGGATGTCACCTTCCCTGGGAGGCACAGGAATAGGGTGTGTCAGACACTTCCAGCACGTGACATTCCCACACATTCTACAGTTAGCTTTGGGAAGTACAGCCAAGGAGAACTGGGTCAGTCTAAGGTCACCCAGAGAGCTTCTGCAAGCGCATGGTAATTGGCTTAAGTCAGTGTCTTGCATACACTTCTAGGCTTCTAATGGCTGGTCGTAGGTCTTAACATTGTACACCTTTATTTGTGAGCAATGTGGAATCCCATCGGGCTAACCATCCTGTGCTTAAGCTCAATAAGCAAACTTTCCACTCTGTTGAACTTCTGAAACATCATAAACACCATCTCCTTCCCATCTTCGTGTCATTTCATATTTCTTCTTGTCATCATTTTTAACTCATGGAATCTGATCAGTGCTACCCATATGCCTATAGTGTGGGATAGCCGCCCCTGGCCCCATCTCGAACGTGTGCAAGGGCACCTTTCTAATGGCCGCACTCCTGTGGGAGGAGTGTGGTGGGGTCCTAAGTTGTAGCCTTACCCTCATCGATCACTGTATGCTCCCCCTACCCCGGGGCCCTGTGGAGGAGGGCCATGGCTATGGAGCTGCTGTGAAGGAGACTGAGAAGGTGGGACCTACAATAAGGCCTCTTAGAATCCCAGCTTCCCAGAGAGTCCACCTTGCCATCCTCCACTCTGCCTCTGTCCCACACGGTTTCTCCAGCACAGCCTTTCACTCAGGTCTCTGTGGCTAGGACACAGTCATCACTAACCAGCCAGGAAAGAAACGGTAGTTCTCATTTGTTAATATTTTTGTGTGTTTTGTTTTTTAACTAGGCTATGGATATAGTGTTTAAAGTATATCAAGCCCTGGATTTTATTCCTAGAGCTAGAAAAACAACACAAAATAAACAAACAAAAAAACAAAAACAAAAAAACAAAAAAGCTTAAATTTCACTGGCTAAAAGGAAACAAAGTATTTCAAAAAATTTGATCATTATAAATGGCAGAGGCTGATTTCTCATTTTTTGCAGTGTTGGGGATTGAATCTAGGACTGCATGCTTTACCACCAAACTATATCCCCAGATTTGTTTCTTTTCAGTTTTTATTTTGGGAGAATGGAGAGATGGCTTAGCAGTTAAGAGTGATGTGCAGTTCTTCCAGAGGGTCTGAGTTTGGTTTCCAGTGCCCATGTCAGGTGGCTCACAACCACCTGTAACTCCAGCTCCAGGGCCAAATGAAAGCATACACACCTACATATAATTAAAACTTAATAATAAGAGGAAATATTTTTTAAATTAAGATTTTGTTTTTGTTTTGGATCAGGGTCTTGGTAAATTGTTCATGGTAGTCTTGGACTGTCCTACTAGACCAAGTTTAACAATTTTTAAAATAGGGACTATGGGGCTTTTTGTTTTTTGTGGGGGGGGGTGGGTTTTTTTGTTGTTGTTTGTTTTTTTTGTTTTCTAGGATTCACCCTGTATCTGACAGAAGTAGAGTTATAGTTTAGAGAAGACATAGGTTCTTTTTTACTATAATAAGTCCAACTATTATTTTTTATAGACTGCATCCTCTTAATATGAGCACAAATAAAGTTTTAGAACTACAGTGTTTGGAATCATCAGTATGTATTATTACCTTTCATTTCACTCTTTTTATATTAATAACAAGTAGCAATCGACTGCAGACAGTTGTTGCTAGTTTGTGTTTTTAGGTTATATGCACCTCTTTTTATTTTAGAAGACACCCCTTTATTCCTTTGGAAGAGAAAACAGTTCAGTCTGAGTAGATGACTTGCCTTATTTAACCTACACCCCAGCTCTCGGTGAGTTTAAAGAGCCTTGGACTCACCTCTCAGTCAGGAATAATACATGTCTGGTAGCTTAAAGGTCATTTCGTTTGGAATCTGCCAAGCATAGGTCTTGGCACCTCTGTGAGGAAGTACATTCCAGAGTCAAGATTCTGCACTCTGCAGCCTGCAGTCCCACCCAGGGGAGTTCAGTGCCAGGGCAGGCGGCCAGAGCATTCCAAAAATCAGAACTGCCTCCGTGGCTAGAGCCCCAGTGTGTGGAGAGGAAGGGAGGTGGCAGGCAGGAAGTATGCATATGTGCACAGCCCTGTCTCTGATAAGGTCTTGGCAGCTCAGGCAGGTGGGTTCTTGTGAGAAGTATCTACTGTACATAGGCAACAAGGACAGAATATTTAGGGAGGATCCAGGATTAGCTGTAAGGGAAATAAATAGTGGTGAAGACACTTGCACTCTGAGCAGGGCTGTGATCCCCTGGGGAGACACTGAATTTCTTAGTAACATCCCACCCAAGGACACAGGAGTTGCAGTA